CAAGTCCTTTATTCAATTTCTCTCTCTCTCTCTCCCCCTCTCTCTCTTTCTCTCTCTCTCTCTCTCTCTCTCTCTCTCTCTCTGTCTATGGCGCCCTCAATCTGGCTAGTCTCTCTCTCTCTTGACCTATTCGTGCCAATGGGCACCCCATGTTATATTTGGTCGGCCTAACAATACATGGACATACATGTAGTTGTAATTCCCGGCGGTCCATTGTGCGCAACCGTATCGTTTGAGTCGCGTCCTTTTCTTAACTCCTGCCTCTCTCTCTCTCAATCTCTGTCTGTCTGTCTGTCTGTCTGTCTGTCTGTCTGTCTGTCTGTCTGTCTGTCTGTCTGTCTGTCTGTCTGGGTGTGGTAATTTTTAGACGTTCCGTAATTTTATCTCTGCTGTTTGCTGGAAATATCAGACTATCATCGCACTTTTTTGACATTATTCACGAGTGGAAACTCCGTACGCACTCGGCCACTGGTATCACAGTCCACACGTGGTTTAGCTTTTCTTGAGACCATTTCTGAGTTTCTTCATTCTGGTCGCCCCAGGTGACAGCAATCTGTAACTCCTTTTGATTTGCTGTTAAAAGAGGTGTTTGTAATAACAATCCCGCTGACTTTGCAAAAGTTTGCAAGCTTATCACAACAGTCGTATCTGTTTTTCAGCCAGTCCTATTCCATATTCCTTGCCTTTTTTGTCTTCCATTTTTTTGTTGGCATTAAGGTTGTCCGTGATCATTCAAACTTTTTATTTGCGAATTTTGTATTTTTATATTTTCAAGTCAGTAATTTTATTTTCTTCGGTGCTTCTGGGGGAGGGTGCATTACATTGTTAGAATTGCAACAACGTGTATGGAGATAAGAAAATAGGGTGTAAATATTTCCATGATTTGAGTATCCATTTTTTTAAAATCTAAAAATGTGCACCATGTGGAAAAACAATCTCCTCAAGAAAATGTCCAGAGACAATGGAATTATAATATTTTTTTTCTGAATCTGTAGCTTTTGAGGGTTATATCGGGGTTTTCAATTGTTTTTTTTATATATCATGTTCTTGTATTTTAAATAACTATTTTGGTAGCTGAGGAATTCCACTGCTTTTGCTCACAAGACTCGTCCATCTTTCACCAAGTCAACGCAGTCAGATTTCCTTGACTTCACCCCCCCCCTCCCCCAAGTACGCACACGTAACTCTCTATCAAGCTGATATAAAGGGGAGTAGTGTTGTCAAAGTTGTCACACTCGAGTGGGAAAGTTTAAAATTGTCGTTTAAACGTTGTCACAACAATGTTTTTTGAAAAGAGAAATCCTGTCTCCAAACATTGTTGAAATCTCAATATTTTTTTTATCTTTTAACACCTGTTCACGTGTAAGTGGTCAGTGTACATAAAGACTATCCACTAACATTTTTCGTTCATTTGTGTCCTTAAGCCATGGCTGGTGCCTTAAACAAGCTGCCCGTTGTGATGTCATAAAACTTAATTTCTTTTTTGTGCCCGTAATCCCACCACGTGACTACTGCTCTAGGTTGACGGTCAGCGTCTATGAAGATTACATCACAGGCATAATGGATGACTGGACACCCAGACGCTAACCCCTTGAGGCTACCGGTGGTTGTGTAATCTGGCCACGAGCCGTGAGAACTACTTGAATTTCTGAAAAGTTACAAAATTACAAAATTCTAGTACAAATTTTTGAGCGAGACATTCAGAAAGAAAGAAAGTTTTTTTTAAATTATTTTTTTTAACCACCCTGTACATGTCATTTATTGCTGCAACACAAGACAGAGTGAAATGGATGTCCATGATCGCCCACGCTAGTCGGCAAGGCACCGGATGATGATGATAACAAGTCCTTTATTCAATTACACAAACTCTCTCTCTCTCTCTCTCTCTCTCTCTCTCTCTCTCTCTCTCTCTCTCTCTCTCTCTCTCTCTCTCTCTCTCTCTCTCTCTCTCTCTCTCTCTCTCTCTCTCTCTCTCTCTCTCTCTCTCTCTCCCTGTTGCCCTCCCTCCCAGCAATCCCCCCTCTCATTCTGTCTCTGTCTCTCTCTTTGTCTCTCTCTCTCTCTCTCTCTCTCTCTCTCTCTCTCTCTGTCTCTCTCTCAATCTCCCTCTCCCTCCTTTTCTCTGTCTTTGTCTCTCTTTCCCTCCCCCTTGAATCCTGCCCCTCTCTCTCTCTCTCTCTCTCTCTCCTCCTGGTGTGCGGGTGTAGTGATTTTTTAGACGTACCGTAATTCTATCTATGCTGTTTGCTGGAAATATCAGCCTATCATCGCACTTTTTTGACATTATTCACGAGTCGGAACTCCGTACGGACTCGGCCACTGGTATCACGGTCCACACGTGGTTTAGCTTTTCTTGAGATCATTTCTGAGGTTCTTCATTCTGTTGTATGTGTCTGGTCGTGCCAGGTGACAGCCATCTGTAACTCCTTTTGATTTGCTGTTAAAATAGGTGTTTGTAATAACAATCCCGCTGACTTTGCAAAATTTTGCAAGCTTATCACAAAAGTCGTTTCTGTTTTTCAGCCTGTCCTATTCCATATTCCTTGCATTTTTTTCTTCCCTTTTTTTTTTTTACATTAAGGTTGTCCGTGATCATTCAAACTTTTTATTTACGTATTTTGTATTTTTATATTTTCAAGTCAGTAATTTTATTTTCTTCCGTGCTTCTGGGGGAGGGTGCATTACATGGTTAGAATTGCAACAACGTGTATGGAGATAAGAAAATAGGGTGTAAATATTTCCATGATTTGAGTATCCATTTTTTTTAAAATCTAAAAATGCAAACCATGTGGAAAAACAATCTCCTCAAGAAAATGGCCAAAGACAATTGGATTATAATATTTTTTTTCTGAATCTGTAGCTTTTGCGGGTAATATCGGGGTTTTCAATTGTTTTTGATATATTATGTTCTTGTATTTTAAATAACCATTTTGGTAGCTGAGGAATTCCACTGCTTTTGCTCACAAGACTCGTCCATCTTTCACCAAGTCAACGCAGTCAGATTTCCTTGACTTCACCCCCCCCTCCCCCAAGTACGCACACGTAACTCTCTATCAAGCTGATATAAAGGGGAGTAGTGTTGTCAAAGTTGTCACACTCGAGGGGGAAAGTTTAAAATTGCCGTTTAAACGTTGTCACAACAATGTTTTTTGAAAAGAGAAATCCTGTCTCCAAACATTGTTGAAATCTCAATATTTTTTTTATCTTTTAACACCTGTTCACGTGTAAGTGGTCAGTGTACATAAAGACTATCCACTAACATTTTTCGTTCATTTGTGTCCTTAAGCCATGGCTGGTGCCTTAAACAAGCTGCCCGTTGTGATGTCATAAAACTTAATTTCTTTTTTGTGCCCGTAATCCCACCACGTGACTACTGCTCTAGGTTGACGGTCAGCGTCTATGAAGATTACATCACAGGCATAATGGATGACTGGACACCCAGACGCTACCCCCTTGAGGCTACCGGCGGTTGTGTAATCTGGCCACGAGCCGTGAGAACTACTTGAATTTCTGAAAAGTTACAAAATTACAAAATTCTAGTACAAATTTTTGAGCGAGACATTCAGAAAGAAAGAAAGTTTTTTTTAAATTATTTTTTTTAACCACCCTGTACATGTCATTTATTGCTGCAACACAAGACAGAGTGAAATGGATGTCCATGATCGCCCACGCTAGTCGGCAAGGCACCGGATGATGATGATAACAAGTCCTTTATTCAATTACACAAACTCTCTCTCTCTCTCTCTCTCTCTCTCTCTCTCTCTCTCTCTCTCTCTCTCTCTCTCTCTCTCTCTCTCTCTCTCTCTCTCTCTCTCTCTCTCTCTCTCTCTCTCTCTCTCTCTCTCTCTCTCTCCCTCTTGCCCTCCCTCATAGCCCTCCCCCCTCTCATTCTGTCTCTGTCTCTCTCTTTGTCTCTCTCTCTCTCTCTCTCTCTCTCTCTCTCTCTCTCTGTCTCTCTCTCAATCTCCCTCTCCCTCCTTTTCTCTCTCTCTGTCTCTCTTTCCCTCCCTCCCAACTCCTGCCTCTCTCTCTCTCTCTCTCTCTGTCTCCTCCTGGT